ACACACACACACACAGAGATAATCGGTAAAAACGGATTGGACTGGTTGGTATCCAGATAAAAATTCTATATAACAAGTAGAAAAGGTACGTAAAATGCGATAGAGCTTCATTTTTATATCGAATAATAGCTCATATTGTTTTGCGTTCTCTTTTATTAATTGATACTTGGATTTCTCAAATTATTTCGAGCTATAGGTAGGTATTTAATTGCGTTCGGAAATAGATCGGTATTCCGAAATACCGATTTGCGAAATGCCATTTCTAGATTCCTTACGTGTTTCAATATTGATAATATCCGCAACGATAAATGCATTGACGATTATGTGAGAGATCAGCTGGTCGTCATTTCCATTCGGACGATATGTGAAGGACGACGTGCAACTCCAATCTCTATTGATATTATTGATATTGATTTTTGCTTGCATTAAGTCTATCTGTATTGATATTGTTTTTCATGTCCGCTCCTATCGCGATAAACCTGTTTACTTCATTAATGCATAGTATGAAGTACTATACAAATATTCGGATCAGACTTATCATTTAAGTATTATAGTTTATTTAAAAAAAAAACGATTCTTTTTCAATCTATGTTAAACTTCAACTTAATATCCATTTTTCTAGATACAATATCTTTTTTTCAATGTCACTTCCACAGTTATCATCTTTCCATTTTTCGACTAAGACTCCGATTTTTTTTTACCAAATCTCCAACTTTCCAGCACATAAAAAAATCTCGATCTAACCACTTAAAATTTTAATGACTCAAGTTCTCGTCTCGCTTTTTCTCCTGTTTTTCTTATAAAAAGTACCTCTGGTAGAGATCCTATAACAGAGTTTGACCACGAGACAAACTTTTGATTGGCTCGTCGTTTTTGTCAATTTCAGTAAGTTAGAATGAGATAACATATCTAAAAAAAAAAGACAATGTATCTGTCTTTTTTACTTTTGTTTTGACAAAATTGCTCGAGGCTAGACTCTGTTATAGGATCTTCAGTAACATTTGATGACCTTTTTTTGTTAGTGAATATTATGCTCCAATGAAGTTTCAGTTTCGGTAATTTCGGTACTTAACGGCAGGAAAATCGTCAATCCGTA